CCCCCCCCCCAAAACAAATATTATTGATCATTTTCAGAATAAAGTGGAAATGCGGAGATTACAGTTGTTGTTTCAGGACAAACTGCCATGGTTTGAGTTGAGTTGTCTGAGTTGGACAAATCCTACTTCAGAATTGATTTTAGTTGCAAACAAATGAGTTATCTTTTACTAACTCATCTACTGACATGTTCAGATTTTTCAGAATTCAGGAGAAATATCTTTAATTTAAAAAGATTTAATTTGCTTCAGCAGCTGAAATTCCAAGTTACAGTCTCTGTGTGAAATCAGGCATCTGTCTTCACACAAAGGATGACCCTCCTCGGGCCGTAAAGCTTATATAGTTTGACTATAATGATTATTATGTCTGTCAAACTCTGGAACCCATCCTTATGTCTCCATTCGACCTCCTCTTCAAACTGTTCCTGGCAGGTTTTTGCAGTGCACAGTTTAGGGTAAATAGTCTTCCACACTGCACATTACAACGTCACTAAATTACCATTAAAGTGCTTTATTGCAACGACTGCAGATCAGTGACAAGTAGCATACAGAAACGGAGCTGGGCAAGTGGCTCCTCCTCCTTTGCGCGATCTCATAAATGGGGCAACAGTTTTTGGCACGAAACTGGATGTCACGACCCTGGGTCTTTCGACCCAGCGTTTTGAGTTATACTTTATTTTGATGTTTATGGTTTATGTTTAAGTTCATTGGGTTTTCTAAGTTAATTTGTTTATTAGTTTCCCCTTGTGTTTTCAACCCCTTTGTTAAGTCTCCCTTGTCCTTTGTGAATTATGTCTGCATGTCTTTGGTTGTCAAGTTCATATTGTCATGTCTGCATCTCATGTTTCCTGTTTTATTTTGAAGTTTTGTGTCCTATGTCAGTGTAGTCGGCTTTGCTTTCTTTGTCTCGTTATGTCAGATTTGTGTCAGCTGTTTCCCCATGTGTTCCCACTTCCCCTAATCACCCCAGTGTGTATTTAGTCTGTGTGTTTCTGCTCATTCATTGTCATGTCGTCTGTTGTTTCTCCTCATGTTTCCGTGTCTCTGGGGTTTTTTTTCTATGTTCAGGTTTTTACGACATTCTAAGTTTTGTTTTTTTGTTGCGTGTTTAGCATTTAGTTTCTCCCCAGTGTGTATCAGATTTTTGTTTTTCTACCTTTTTTATCAGCCATATTAAACAGCCCGCTTTTTGTTAATATTCTTAATATTTTTGTTAATAAAGTTTTCTTCCACGTTCTTTGTGTCTGCATTTTAGGTCTTTTCATCAATGCATACACTCTGCCTCTGCCAGACTGTGACACTGGAAATAAAAACACACACAGTTTGTTGTGTGAAGAAATCAAACATGAGCTGAACAAACACACTGTTAGACATTTTATTGTATTTTTACATTAACTTACTGGCAACACTATTGCCAGTAAGTTACTGTAATTACTGATCTACAGTATCTTTACTGTTGTGATGTTTTACAGTTCAACCACTTTACTGTAAACATATATTACAGTATAACAGCTTTACTGTAAATGTTGTTTGTGGTAATGCAGCTTTACTGTAAATGTGGTTTACAGTTAGAAAGACTTACCGTGATTAAGTTTTATAGTATCACTGTACTGCAAATGTGGTTTATGGTATAACACTGTAATTGTGTACAGTATAATTTGTGTAGATTGTAATTGTGTTTTACAGCATATAAAATAATATTAACATTCATATTCAATATAAGAACATTTACAAAAAACAATATAATTCAATAAAGTAGTCTCAGAATAGTGAATTAAACCAACATTTATTGTTGATAAAAAAATTTTAACAAGAAAAACATTTTTCAACTGAATAAAAACAATGTCAATAACCAAAATAAATAGAAGCGTACATGAAAACTACACAGTCCTTCACCTTTCTGTGTCTGAGTTTTTTAAGGAAAACAGTTTTTCATTCCACTAAAAACAGGACAAACCCACCAGCATGAACATTAAATAAACTATTACAATTGTAAAGCAAAAATCATTTACAAAATGTAATAATTATCAGTGGGTCCCAGGAAATAGAATGTGACATGGGATTTAGATTTCCGTTACCAGGATGGTCAGGTTCAGCATAGTCTTTATCACCACCTGTCAAAGACACATCATCAATATTCATGTTTGCTCAGGTTATTCACTTGTTCACATCTGTCTGAGATCATTCATACTGTTGTATGGATGTGTGTACGGTATGTATATAATTATCAGCTATGTAAAAAATATTATCATCTCTGTATTCTTACCTAGTTGGAAGTCCTCCATTCAAACTCAGAGAGCCGCTGGAGGAAGGTGGTGATCCGAGGGCTGATGCTTGTAACCTTCCTCTTTACGACACGATCTGTCTTGCGGCTTGTACCAAGTTTTGCAGGGCATTTTGTTCCCATGTCTGGATTGATCCTCACAAAGAACCTTTTAACGGAAAAAAGGCTGCTTTAATTTCAAAATTAAAACATACATTACAGCAATCACCTATATGTTTCTGCAACTGTAGTCAAGCTATCACATATATTTCATTCTTAAATGGTGTAAGCTTTAATGTTGTAAAGTATTTACCTCTGTATCATCTCCAGTGTGATGGACGCTGACTCCTGATACTCAAGGTTGAAAACATAGTATGACGCAAAGAAGACAGCAAGGGTGCTGGCAAAGTCATGCATCTTCTCAGGCTCATAAAATACCTTGCCCTCCAAACTGATCATCCAGCGGCTTGCAGACATGAAATTATTCCCTAAAAACAGACAAGAGTCCAATAAGACAATGTGCTCACCCTTACAAATAAGGTTTCCACAA